ACTATTGGATAAAGACTGGTTACGAAAAGTAAAAATTAAAGCCTTCAATTTCAGGCGAAAATAATGGATTTATTTTCACTAGACCTCAATATTATTCGCTTAAAATAAAATAGTTTTTAAGAAACATGTAGCAGAAAAGGAAAACAACAAAACAGAAAACTACGTTCCATTGGGTGGGAGTGTAAAGGGGTACAGGTTAGGCTATATGAAGAGAGTGTTTGTTACCAGAAGGCCTACAATAAAACCACGTGGTGTATTTTTAAACACATTTTAAACACTCGTGATCCACGGTGCGAAAGTTTTGTGTGCGCGCAATGTTGATTGCTCAATGGCAAAAACACCATCAACCATCATTGAACGAACAACAACAATCGTGCAAGTCTTTTCTATGTAACGCACGCACTCACTAACTCACTCGCTCGCTCACACGGCAATGCGCAATGGCAATGTCCTTGTATGAAAAACGGTTTTGGCCATCAGGCGAACAGCATAAACAGCGCGACGTTGTGAAATGAAAAGACACACGTTCGCATTGTGCAACTAGAGTAAAAATTCGCCGAGTTTCTTGCATTTGCTTGATGGGTATGTGCATGAGTGAAATAGTCACATATACATATATGCACTGTTCACTGTAACGTATTAGTTGCTATTTTCACACACGAGCTATCGCGTCACTTCATATAATGATCTCTGTTTGCTGCATACTTAAAGACAGCTGTTGGTTGTTTTGTTTACCTCTTGCAATATGTACATATGTATGTATACGTGTGGGTACTCTTATTGCTATAACTCGTCATTTTCACCTTTGCATCACACCATCCATCCATAAACGTATGCGGCTGCGTACATACATATATGTACATGTACATACAAACAACATTTTGTTGCTGCATTTGCTCTTTCACACATTTCATTATCTCCCATCACATAACCTCACAATATTTTGGCGGGCGTTGCTCTGTGATTCTGCATGAAACAACAAATTTAAGCAAGTATCTTGATATGCACAAGCCATGCATGCATGCGAAAAGGGGAAGTACAGGTTTGTACAATAACAAACGGGCTACTGTTATTTGCTGTTGTCCTAGTGAAAAACTGACTGACTAGGCCCCTGAATTCGTGTGTGCGCGCATTTGGTTGTATGTGCTCATCAAGTGAGATAGATAGACAGACGGCCACAAACGAGCTGTAACGAACGATTGAGACAGGAAAAAGAACTAATTAACTGGCAGCCAACAAAACTCGTTTGCATATAAGAATGTCACAAAAGAAGTGCAAGACGCAGCGGCGGTTGAAAAGTGCAAATACAGTTGAAAGTAAATGGTGATTGTACAGTCACTCGCATTAAAACTCGTGCAAATACTAATTATGAAGTGGTGTCGATGATAAGCAAACTTTGGTTTCGTTATCAGTTAGCGTTTACCGTCCTGACATACATACAAACATATTTACATAACTGCCTTACTCAGAGGCGAAACCCGTTTGGTTTTAGACGACTTTAACGCGCACAACGATCTTTTACATTCTAGCTAATAAAATTACCGTAAAGGGATGAAGCTGGCGGAACAGATAGACGATTTGACTTTCTGCACCATGAATGATAGATAATTGCCAAAGCTTGCCAGATCCAACAAATGCGAGTGCTGATCTGATAAACAGCATAGGCTGCCGATTCAGCTGACGCTAGCATCAGACCGTTTACCCATAATAGTCTCGATTGAAAGGCCTCCCGATTTCGCTGTCTAAGACCACCAGATAATCGTTAACTTCAAAAAAACAAAAAAAAAACGAACTGACTCGAATTCAGGGAATTCACTGAGAACGCTTTTAGTGCTATCCTCACTTTAACATCTCCGGGAAACGCTCATTAAGCCGGCAACTCAATCCGTCACGACGATCCTGAAGATCATATAATCACGGTGTTTCGGCTTCAAATAGAAATTTACAAAGAAAACAAGTGAGAGGAACATTAAAGGTCCTTCAACCTCTTGTCTAGGGTAACCAGACGCGATGACCGGGTGGAAATTTAATTCGGTTTTAGTTTTCACAGTGCATCCTTTGAGGGACGAAATGAATGAACAAAAAGTGTCTGCGTAAGTTGCCAAACCACCAGCGTGGCGTTTGATTTCTCCAAAGAACATGTTCAGCGAGTCTGCGGGCAGGTGAAAGTCTCCACATCCATCGGGCTCCGACGGTATAAGCATGCTGATGTTAAAGCACCTGGGACCAGCAAAAGCCGACTATTTCAGCAAGGTCTTTAATTTTTCTTTAACCAGCCTAATTACATCCGAAGTGTGGAGAATGAGTAGAGTGGTCCCGTTACTAAAATCGGGGAAACCAGCCTATAAGGAAGAATCATATCCGCCGATATCTCTCTTCTCTCCTGTAAAGGAGACACTTGAGGCCTGGCTGCTTAGCACCACATCATCGTGGGCTCCGAAAAGCGCAGAGCGCCACAACTGCACTTTGCGTCAAAAACACTCACATAATCAATAGCCTTCACAAAAATCGGGATTGCATGTGAACTATGCTGCTAGCACTGGATCTGTCGAAAGCTTTTGAGATCGTCAACTGCGTCAGTACTACTATCGGACATTGAATACTCCTCATCACCGCCGGGGTTGAAGGGTGAACTGTGGGCTACCTGGGTGTTCAGCAGTGATTGGCGTATAAAGTCTATGAGTGTGAGCTTAAAGCCTTTGAAGTCGGTAAAAAGAAAGCATTCTGCATATTAGTATATATACATGTATGTACATATGTATGTATGTATGTATAGATGGAAGCCAGGCTACTTTTTGCACATATTGTAAACACCTACACATCTATTTACATGTAGCACAACAGTCTAGCCAATTTGTCTACTTGTCCATTCTAATTAAGACTCCACCACATCAGCCTCAATTTCGACTCTCGTCCTGCTGGCCTTGTAACAGTGCGAGCAATTAAAATAATGAACAAATATGTATGTACATTTTAACGTATACATATGTACATATATACATCCATGCATACATATGTCTGTACATTTGTGGATATCTTTGTCTGCTTGCATGATGGTTCACGGTATTTTGCTCCCCCTTCCCGCGCCAACCACCGCAGGCGGCTCACCCACATTTAAACCACTTTTGCCAATTAGTGAAAATTCTAAAAATGTTTCTTCATTAGCAAAAATTTCGACCTACACTTTTGCCAGCGACTCTTCTTCTAACCTATTACATTAACATCATCTTAATTAAAATCCTGGCACAAGCAATTTTGTCTGCCATTAAAATGTTGCTGCTGCTGCTGCTGCTTGCTACATACATACATACACGAACGCACATTTTAATCTATACATATGTATGTATATGTGGATTTGTGTAAATGTTTGTAGAAGACCACCTAACTTGCAAGTGAAACTGTGTATATATGTACATATGTATGTATGGATGGATATATCATCCAGTTGTTACTCCCTCAGCGACCCACTCTTTGGCATCAAAATATAAAATATATTCCTACATCTAACAACAACAACAACGAACTCTACATAGTTATACTTATATACATACATACATACATATGTAAGCAGATATGTACATATAAATACGTTTGTCAGGGAAACAACAATAACAAGATACAATCCGTAGCCGCCACTTCCAAATGTGCCGCTTTCATTTGTTTCTCTTTGTGTTCCTTTCATTACATTTCATTTTATTTTGCCACAAGAGGCTGCTTTTAATTGCTTAATTGGAATTGTTTGCTAATTTGTGTGAATATTTCATATATGTATGTATGTGAGTATGTATATATGCATGTTTCCGCCCCCAGCAGTCAGAAATGTCCTTCACATTCGCTTCTTTATTGCCTCTTCATCTTTCTTCATTGATTCTGTTACGTTCTTTGGTGTTGTAGTTTAGGAGCAAATTTAATATTCGTAAATTAGGAGCTATACCGTTGGTCGTTGGAAGGTCTAACATATAAGCTCCCTCGAATTCGATAGAGTTTGGTGGACTTCATTTATTTAGTTTCATTACAAGTGTGCTTCCAAAATTCTTTGCTGGGCATAAATGTGCGTGTGTGTGCGTAAAAATTTGTAAACAATAGAAACACCAAAAGGATTTGACGTTTAGAGCAACGGAAATAATAAAAACAGGAACGCAGTCGATTCGGTCAAGATTTTACTATTTTTGTGTTTTTTTTTTGCTTTAGTATTTTCCCCGCCCTATTTTTACTCGTTCAAGTGTTCGAATTTACCAGTGACTGTTTATGACCAGAGATCATTTACTTAAAATTAGCTGCTACTGCTATTGATTGCCTCTCTTATGAGGGTTGCACAACAACGATTGTGGGCATGTGTGTACGTGCTGCCGGCCGGCCGGCTTGCACGACTGGCCATTAATAGTTGAAATGAAATAGCGGAACGGTCGGGCAATGTCTGCCGCCTACGTACGAACACACCCAAGGTCGACATCCACCACGCCCTAGATACGCCTCAAATTCATCAAATATATCAGGAGCACAGAATTTTTTGTAGATAAACGTTAACACAGATACGGAAATCCGTGAGAGAGCGAGAACGGAGATAAAATGGTAATAATTGAGAGATACAAACTACGAATGGGCAGGGTTTTATTGGGCATGTAAGTAATGAAAGAACCCTAAAAGCTAAGAAATCGTATATTGTTAGAGGCTGTACAAATTGATAACGCCTCCTGTTTTTTTTCTCCATTCATTTTGTTTACTTTTTGTCATACCGCTATTGTTATTGCAGTTGCTCTTAGAGTTCATAATAATTGGGGGGGTGGTGTACTAGTGTCATTATTACAAAGTACAAAATTGAAAGACACTTGAAACACTTATGCGAGCATCCGTACATACATACTTACATACGTATCTATTATTTGTATAGGAGTGGAACAAAGAACTTGACCGTCAACAAATTTTAGTTTTTTTAATACATTTATATGTTTATTTAAAGCCATTGTAATTAACAATGTATGAAGTATATTAGCATTGTGTTTTTTTTAATCATCATCACTGTCACGTCTCGTTTCAACATGCTTTTCTCGTTCTCTTTCGGTATCCTTGCTAACATTGCCAGCACTTTTTGTCTTCCTCTGCTCATCACTACCACCTGTAGTTAAGCCATCGGACCACTTGCCACGCGGTATATCAGAGTATGAGCTGGGATCCATGGGATCTGCTGGTTCCGCATCGCTTCGTCCTCGATGTCTGCGACTATTTCCATGTTCCCGTTCTTTATCACGATCACGTCTTTGTTTATTTGCCAGTGTGCGATCCAAATCCCGTGATTTTGGTTTGCGTTGTGCTGTAGCATTACTATTAACAGCCACTGTACTCTCTTTTAGACTGGGAAAATCGTTCTTTGGCACTGCCGGTGAACGTGGTCGCATTGATGAATTTATTATTTCATCTATTTCACGTTGATGTCTTTCTAATTCAGTTTCCTGTCCGTCATCACTGTCGTCTGGTTGTTGTTCACCATCACTGCCGCCGCCACCTTCACCACCAGCGGCTTCTTCTAATTGGCGCCGAAAAACAGCGGCACTTTTTGTAACTTGTGATTTGGGATGTGTTGGTGGTAGCCAAGAAACTAAATTTTCAGCAACGCTGTAGAAATAATAACTAGCACAGCCGGGATCGTAACGTTCAGTCCAACCTTTGGGTAGTGGATATTTGCGACGTAAACGTTTATATCGGCGCATATATTCGCGACTTGGTTCGACTTTGCCATCACCCCAACGATTTACACAAAACAATGTACACTTATGCCATATATTGTATTTATTGGGGCAACCACGATGTCCAGTGGTGGAGCTAGCTTCACCCATACGTTCCTTCATGCGTTCTAGCCAGAAGTTTTCCTCAACTCGTTTATTTCCGGTCTCCGTATCGTAAAGTGGGGGGTATTGATATTCCTCATGCGCACCGGCATGATTGTCTTCACTAACGTCCATTTCATCGTAATCTTCAGCGATAACTTCTTCATTTTCAGCTGGGACGCTCAATGGAGGATCTGCTTCTTTTGTTTTCGACTTATTTACGAGTCCGCGTTGAGCTAAACGCTGCAATAATGCTGGTGGCAAACTCATCGATTTGAGTGCAAGGACTGTAGACAATTTCAATTATTTCGTTAAACTAATTAAAATGAGGCTGCGAGCCCTGGTTGTTTCACAATTAACACTATTATAAATAAATAATATCTAAACAGTGATTTCTTTCAACGCGTATTGTACAATAATTTCATAAGCGTATTTACGCATGTTTTGACCGTTCTGTTTACATGCCATTCGAAAGTACGTTCAGTGGCTGCATGTATACAGGGTCGTATTTAAGACATTGTTAAATTTAAACCAAAGAACGTATTCATATACGTTCTTTGTTTAAACAACGCATGTTTTAAATTACGGTATCGTTTTTGATTTGGTTGAATACGAATAGACACAATGAGAACTCTTATGCGAGACTAAATTTCTGAGAATCCTTAAATTATGTTTTTTTTTTTCAGAAGTATTTCAAAACATATAATTTTTGTACGTTCTTTGATATATCTTTGTTTTTAAATTTCATGCGGTGCGGATGCAACTCTGAAAATGGTGGAGCCTTCAACGAAATGAGCAACACGTGGGGTTTACGAAAGTGCTCATTCAGTGTGGAGCAGTTGAGTGAGACGCATTTGAAACGGACGGTAAAGAATTTGTCAAAAAAATGTGGCTTTGAATATTTCTGTCAAAAAATTCATATTGCAGTTTTAATGACAACATTTTATCATATTTATTTACAGATTTTACACCATTCTATTGCATCGTGAGATTATTTGAGAAAACTTTGTTAGCCATATCGAGAATCTGAAAAAATTTACAATATCATTTTCAATACGCAGCTGGAAAATTTCCACCGGTGTTTGCGGTGCTGCAAGCAATTTATTAAAATTGCGTCGCTAAAAGCGTGAAAAAATAACATATTTATGTACTTGCGTCTTGTCGTGCTTTAAATAAAAGTGAAAAATTTTGGGATTATACATATACATACAGATATACTAATTGCCAATTGTTTTTTTTACATACATATATACAGAAGCATTTAACCTGTATAGCTCTCGACAATTGACTTATACCTTCAATTAATTAGTGCCAAAAACCTTTTATATTTTTACCACGCAATAATATAATTAATTCTAACAATGGCAACAAAAACATCAACTAATAATTTAGCCACCAATGGCTTTGATGATGAAAGTGTAAAAATTGTATCAGCCGGGGCAAATGGAAATGAATTGCAGGATGGCTTGTCATGTCACGAACTATTCGTCAATAGTGATGGTTTAACATACAAGTAAGTATACATAGTTAATATTGAATGCTTTTAATTACCTCTCTTGATAACACAATATATTTATAAACATATGTTTGTTTTTTAGTGACTTTCTTATCCTGCCAGGCTATATCGATTTTGCCGCTGAGGAAGTAGATCTCAGTTCACCATTAACAAAGAAAATTACGTTGCGTGCGCCACTTGTTTCATCGCCTATGGACACTGTTACTGAGTCGGACATGGCCATAGCAATGGCGGTAAGTTGATGTTAAGCACTTTAGTAGATAAATGTATGTGTTATGTCAATTATATATAATGTTATTATATTATTACGTTCATAAATATATTTAAATATATCTCGCCTCTACAAGTATACAAACTATACTAATATTATATTTTATTTACTTTTTTTTCAGCTTTGTGGTGGTATCGGCATCATTCATCACAATTGTACGCCAGAATATCAAGCAAATGAAGTACACAAAGTGAAGAAGTACAAACATGGCTTTATACGTGATCCCTCCGTTATGTCGCCTGAGAATACCGTGGGTGATGTGTTGGAGGCACGTCGCAAAAATGGTTTTACCGGTTATCCCATCACTGCAAATGGTAAACTGGGTGGACGTTTGCTGGGTATTGTAACATCACGCGATATTGATTTTCGTGAAAATCAGCCTGAAATCAAATTGGGCACAATAATGACCACCGAATTAATTACGGCACCGAATGGCATAACACTGCCCATGGCTAATGCCATTTTAGAGAAAAGTAAGAAAGGCAAATTGCCAATCGTTAATGAGAATGGCGAGCTTGTTGCATTAATTGCACGTACCGATTTGAAGAAGGCACGTTCATATCCGAATGCTTCAAAGGATAGTAACAAGCAATTATTGGTAGGCGCTGCAATTGGTACACGACCAGAAGATAAGGAGCGCCTTAAATTGTTGGTAGAGAATGGTGTTGATGTTATAGTTTTGGATTCATCGCAAGGCAATTCAATATACCAAATTGAAATGATTAAATTTATTAAAAATACATATACAGAGCTTCAAGTAATTGGCGGCAATGGTGAGTTTGTATACAAGAATATAACTTTTTTTTAATTTTATTTACATTTATTATTTTATTTATTTATTCATTTTTGAATTTTTTTTAAATTCAATTTTTTTTTTAATTTAATTTTATTTCTTTAATTTAATTTTATTATATTTTTTAATTTAATTATATTTTTTAATTTTATTTTAAATTTTGTTTTTTAATTAATTTATTTAATTTTTTTATTTTATTAACATTTTTATTTTTTTTTTACTTGTTTCTTATTTTACTTTTTTTTTTATTAACTTTTTTATTTATTTATTTTTATTTTTTTATTTCATTAACTTTTTTATTTATTTATTTTTATTTTTTTTATTTTACTAACTTTTTTATTTATTTATTTTTTTTTTTTTTATTTTATTAACTTTTTTTATTTATTTATTTTTATTTTTATTTTTATTTATTTATTATTTTTATTTATTTATTTATTTATTTTTATTTTTATTTATTTATTTATTTTTTTTTTATTTATTATTTTTATTTTTTTTTTTATTNTTTTTTAAATTTATTTATTTATTATTTTTATTTTTTTTAATTTATTTATTATTTTATTTATTTATTTATTATTTTTGTTTTTTTTATTTATTTATTATTTTTGTTTTGTTTTATTTATTTATTATTTTTATTTATTAATTATTTTTATTTATTTTTAGTTATTAATTATTTTTATTTATTTTTAGTTATTTATTTTTTTTTTAATTTTCATTCTTATTTTGTTTTATATAAATTTATATTATTTTCATTGCTTTCTTTCTTTCCGATTTCAGTGGTGACACGTGCTCAGGCAAAGAATTTAATCGATGCTGGTGTAGATGGTTTGCGTGTGGGCATGGGTTCCGGTTCGATATGTATAACACAAGAGGTTATGGCATGTGGTTGTCCTCAGGCAACTGCTGTCTATCAAGTTTCCACATACTCCAAACAATTCGGCGTGCCCGTTATTGCCGATGGTGGCATACAATCGATTGGACACATTGTCAAAGCTTTATCTTTGGGCGCTAGTGCCGTTATGATGGGTTCACTCTTGGCTGGCACATCTGAAGCGCCAGGTGATTATTTCTTTTCAGATGGTGTACGTTTAAAGAAATATCGCGGTATGGGCTCATTGGAGGCGATGGAACGGCGTGATGCAAAAGGCGCTGCAATGTCACGTTATTATCATACGGAAATGGATCGCACCAAGGTGGCACAGGGCGTGAGTGGTAGCATCGTTGATAAGGGTTCAGTTTTACGTTACCTACCATATTTGGAATGTGGTCTGCAGCACAGCTGCCAAGATATTGGCGCACGCACAGTTAGTGAATTGAGGTTAGTGGGGGGTTTTTTTTTACTGAAAAATATGTACTTTTTAAATGCTGTTTCTACATATTATTTTATATATCTATATACTTTTTTTTTAGAGCTATGATTTACAATGGCAAGTTGCGTTTCATGAAGCGCACACATTCCGCACAGTTGGAGGGTAATGTACATGGTTTATTTTCCTATGAGAAACGTCTCTTCTAACAGCCAGCTATAACTGGTACACGTACTGATAAAGCGTTAATTGCAAATAATGCGCGCAGTGGTGGCATAACGGCATATATGCAACGTAATGGAACGTTTGAAGGCGGTACAGCGGTTGCGCTTAATACATTTAATAGAGCTACAGACATGGGAAGAGAGCAGCGACGTTAGTAACAATATCTATATGTATATATCTATATACTTATATAACTTATATTAAAAATAATATATATACATACTATATTAAAAACTAATGCATTAAATTACGTCAAGTACCTAGAAAGAAAAGTAAATTTCAATTATAAATATATTTGCACGTATGTACGTCGCTAGAAAAATTAGCTTCTTGCTTGCTTCAGTACTTAATTAGAGTTGAAAAAAAAAAAACAACAACAAAAAATTAGTAGTTATTGTTATAAGATATAATTTTACAAATGTCAAGTCTGTGCTTTTGTTTTGATTTTAATGCAAGCTTTTGATATGAAAAAAATGTTGAAATTGGTTAGAGCCAACTTATTTGTCTATTGTATGTAAAGTATGCACACATTATTTATTTAATAAGATATATTATTTATAAATATTCGGTTTAATTGTAGAACATTTTTTTTTATTAAGTTCATACGTAAATGCAGGTTATGCACGTTAAAAAAAAACGCCTAGAAATTGTTAAAAAAAAGTATAAAAATAGTTCACCATGCCACAACTAATTTAATTGTCATAATAGTATTTTTTTTGATTTTTTTCTAAATTATTTTAAAGCTCCAATAGATTATCTATCTATCTTATAGGTCACTTAATTATTTTCTCGAAAATTTTTATTTAATTTTTTTTAGAAAAAAAATTGTAAAAATACCACAACATTGCTAAACTAGCCACATTACGGCATTAAATTGATTATATACATAAATTTATGTATAGTACAAACAGTTATGTACGCATATTAATAGTTTATTAATGTTGAAAACATACTGACATACACATATACATTGGTATATTGCATAAATAATTACACATTTGTGCATGATATCAAAATTTAACAAAAATTCCTTATATACATACACGTGTATGTATGTAAGCTTGTTGTATGTGCAACATTGAAATTAATATGTATAATATGCATATACATGTATACAAACATAAATATATGAGCATATATGAGTGTAAAAAAATTGCATTGTTTTATTTATAAACACATCCACGTACATATAAATATTTATATAATATGTGTATTGGCGTTTGTGAGTCAAGGTACGCATGGCGACGGCTTAAATGACTTTAACCGCATTATGTGGTTTACTGAGAGTGGCTCTTTGTTGTGCTTGTAGTAATTCTAAGCAATAACAGTATATCATGAGTACCGTAATTTGGGGAATATTTTTCTTGTTACAACAACAACAGCAGCATCAGTACCGTTTTTTACGATTACCATAATTACCGCGTGACCCTGACACAACTTAGGTCTGGATATTGTAGCAGGTTAAACTCCTACTTATCCAGACAAGACCCCAGCATACCCAACGTATGCCCTGCATGTGGAGAGTCCGCACGACACTAACCACCTCTTCACATGCCCTCTCAAACCAACTCATCTAACCCCCTCCTCTCTCTTTGGTCCAACCCCGTCGAAACAGCTCGTTTCCTGGACCTTCCGCTAGATGACCTCGGCGACTTGGACTGATCAAACCTGTGCCTAAGCGGGGTTAGCGAACCGCTAGAACAACAACAATTACCTCAACAGTAACGGGCAACCATTGTTGTTGTTGTTGTTGTTGTTGTTGTAGCGGTTGGCTGGTCGCGCTTATGCGCTAGTAAGATCAGTCATAAGTCAACAAGATCATTTAATGGTAGGTGCAGGAAAGCTGTTTCAGTGGGTTCGGACCAGAGGGAAAGGAGGATTAGATGAGTTGGTTTATGGGGTATGCAAAGAGGTGGTTGTTGTTGTTGTAATCGCAAAAGCGGGAGTGACGGTCTTTGTCCTGACAAAACTGCGTTTTACATGGACTGAGACAAATGATCGTTTGCTGGTGCAAGGGAATGATCAATGACTCGCATCTGGACATTTCGTGTAGGCCATTTTTCTCAGTAGTTTTCCGTAAAGAGTCGCCTGCTGCAGGGTCGAAATGGGATAAGGAGAGATCGCGAGATATGTACTCCTTAAGAAGAGGTGACATGTTCAAAGTTATTGGAGTTCTGACAGGCCACCGTCTGATAGAATGCCACGCAGAAAGATTTGGGGCTCCCTATAGAAGATACTGCAGAAGCTGCAAGGAAAAGACGATCAGTCATCTCTTATGCGTGCGAAGGATCGAAGATACTTGACGTCAAATTCCTGGATCTAATGAGGTTCAATAGAGAAATTAATTGGATGGATGATGAAACCTGATGGTTTAAGGTTTAAGGTTCTCTCGGAAACACAATGGGTCTTAGTGAATCCAACTTGAAAGATCGGTAGCCAATGCAACCTAACCTAATCTAACATGCGCTTTATCGCAAAAGCTCTTATATTTGCGCACTTGTATGTACATAAATCGAAGTAACAGAATACATGTATGTATGTATATTTGTTATTGTTGATAAAATGCTCATTAGTTTAGTTACTTATTACAAATGTACCGCTGTAGTTGTTTGAGCTTAAGGCATTGTACATATATCAAGATCCGCACAGAAATTTCACCAAGTCACTTATTTGCCTGCAGATTTAAATATGCGGACTTCCTATCTAAATTTTTCTAGATGTGCGTATTCTCCAAGGTCTTAAGATGAGCTGGTACAATATGATATTGCCGTATCTCAGTGGAGAGAAAGCAGACTGACAGTAGGCTTCAAGACTAGTGACCTATGTTCAGAGCATATACCAAGCATACCCCAATTTGTGGATTACGCCTTGATGTTCTTCCCAAAACTGGAGAGACCTACAGTTTATCCCAAGCCGCTTGCGAACAGCCGATGGATTTTTATAAGGGTATTTTTTATACACCCGGAAGGCGTGATATTCCCTGCCGTGATGAGAGAAATTAATTTTCGATAATTTTTGTATGTTGGTGGTACCAGGACTCGAGCACTGTCCTTCAGAATGACTGTACGCAATGCTAATCACTCGGCTTTCGTAGAGTATAGTGAGTTTATAAAGGGATCATTCAATCAACCAGAGATGATTAACCAGAATATCTAATCGATGACGTTGGTCTAGGATCCACATAAGGCACCGCAAAAAAATCCGCGTCGTTTCGGCATAAAGCTAAGACTATCCCGAAAACTATTGGATTTTAGTCTTCTCTAACGACAGGCATGCCTTAGGACAAGTAAGTGATTACGCTGTTTAGCTCATTTCAACCGAATGTAGTCGAAAAGACGCAAGCTTTGAAAGTATTCCCTGCCGTACCCACTGAGGTGCATGCAGAAGAAGAGCAAAGTATGTATTTACTTCGTTGATTGAGATTAGCCAAAGAAGAATCTGACTTTGCTTGTTCTCTGCAATCAGCGCTGATTTGAAAAAAAAAAAATCGGATCTAGTCACCGTTTCCGCATTGGGTTCACGTCCGGTCTGTTGGGTCTGTCATTTATCCTTCATGCGCGCTCCTTGGTCGGTTGGGCGGGAGGTGGACAGAGCACAGTTCGTCGTCGAATAAAAGAGAAAGGAGTCTAGTGAAAGGCGCACATGAAATCAATAAAAATTCTTTGCAGGGGTCACGCAAAAAAAAAAATCGACTTCATTAAATTGAAAATTAAATAAAATAAAATATTTTTTTTTCTCAAAAGTCGAATTATGTCACTCTCAAATGTTTATCAATAAGCCATGTACAGGAAATATGAGAGGTTTCTAAGCTCAATAGCAGCTTTACGATAAAATGCAGTTTTGCATTAAAAAAGCTCTAGTTTCAGATTCATTTCACTTACGTCTGTTAAGTGAATAACTACACACATATATACTTGTATTCGAGAATATAATAAAAAAGATTTTGTTTTGTCCTTATATATAATATATGTATATATATATTTTTTTTTTCGAAAACCAGTTAAGAAATATAAATAAAATGAAAAAGCGCGTTGCCGCTCTACTCATTCTAACCTTAGTCAAGGTGTTTGCTACCGAAGCCACTGCTGTCGATTCTTCCCCTAACGTGGTGCCGTTAACTATATATTTCGATGCGGGCGAGGATGTGGTGAAAGGTCTAGAATTATTAAGATTAAATGAAGGAAAGCAAAGGGATTTAGAGGAAACACTGCAAAAGTGAGAATAAACTTAAATTAAAAATTAAAAAAAAAAAAAAAATATTTTTAATAAAGAAAAATTTTTTTTTTTAATTTTAAAATTACAGCCAACACAATGAGATTATCAATTTCAAAGAAACCGCAAGGCAATTAAATAATAAATTATTGGAATTAAATGAGAAATTAAATGAATTGAATGGTAAATCGACACAGAGGTGAGTGATTATTTACAAATAATTAATTAATTAACTTAATTATAAATAAATAAATAATTTTTGAAACAATAATTTTGGAATTTAATATTTTTTAAAATAAATTTTTTTCAATATTTTTCAGTGCGCGCAGCATCAATGAATCAATAGAGAAACGTTTGTTGGAAATTGAAAATAAATTGAAATCAATTAATGTAATTGTTCCGGAACAAAAGTAAGTATTGTAATAACTACATATATACATATTAAGAAGCAATAATGACTTACATACATACATACATATTAGAAAAGTCATATTATTATATACAGCCATGAGTAGAGATTAAACGCACTTGCGCGAAAAATTTTTTCATACATATATTTCATCGTATTGCCGTTATTTCTTATGAGAGAAATTAAAGTACTGTAAACTTAATTTTTCAATTTTTTTCAAATATTCTACAATAAATTAAATTACGGTATAACAAAGAAATTTACTTAAATTTTGGCTTAACATAATATATTGTAAACCAAGAAAAAACTCAACATAAATTATTGCCAAAAAAAAAATTCTAGACTTGAAATTTGGTTTAACATAAATTATTGCATACCAAAAAAGTTTACCTTAATTTTGGGTTTATATAAAATTTTGTAAACCAAAAAAAGCTCAATATAAAATATAGCAAAACCAGAACTCGTGGCTTAAAGTTTAGCTCAACATAAATTATAGTATAACAATGAAAATTTACTTAATTTTGGTTTAACATAAAATATTGGAAATCAAAAGACTCCAAAATAAAATATTGCATAACAAAAATATCTAACTGGAAATTTAGCTTGACATAAATTGCAGTACAACAAAAAAAGAATTTACTCAAATTTTAGTTTGACATAAATGATTGCAAACCAAAAAAAATTAAATATTGCATAACAACATAAAATAAATTATAGTATAACAAAAAAGGTTACTCAAATATTTGGTATAACCAAAAATATTGAAAACCATGAAAAAAACTCAAAATAAAATGATGCATAACAAAAGTTTCTAAACTTGAAATTTGGCTTAACATAAATTATGATTTTACTCAAATTTTGATTTAACATACATAACTGCAAGCCAAACAACTCAAAATAAAATATTGCAAACCAAAAACTCTTGCTTCGAAATTTAGCTTAACATAAATTATAATATGACAAAAAAATCTACTCAACTTTTGGTTTGACATAAATAAATGCAAACCAAAAAAAATTGAAATAAAATATATACATATAACGAAATTTCTAAACTTGAAATTCAACTTAACATAAATTATAGTATGACAAAAAAATCTACTCAACTTTTGGTTTGACATAAATAAATGCAATTCAAAAAACTCAACATAAAACATTGCAGATCGAAGATTGTAGACTTAAAATATTGCTTAACATAAATTAGAGCATAACAAAAAAATTACTTAAATTTTGGTTTAACATAAGACATGGTAAAAAAAAAACTCAATATAAATATTGCATAATAAAAATCTCTGAACATAAAATTTTTGCATAACAAAAAGATTTACCAAATTTTGGTTTAATATTTTATTGGAAACAAAACAGAATTTAACATAAAATATTGCAAAACGAAAACCTATAGACTTGAAAATTAGCTTAACATAAATTATTACAAACCAAAAAAATTTAATAAAACTAAAAAAAATCAATATAAAATATTCCAGAGAAAAAACTCTTGTCTTTTAATCTTGCTTAACATAAATTATTGCATAACCAAAAAATAAATAAATTACTAAAATTATTAACAGAAAATATGGAATAAAATAATATTTAAATTATTTTTCTGTTGCTATTATATTTATAATAATTTTTAAATTTATATTTATTTTTATTTTATTTGTTTATGTTTATGCATATAAATTTTATTATTTAATTTTATATTTATATTTATATTTATATTTATATTTATATTTATATTTATATTTATATTTATATTTATATTTATATTTATATTTATATTTAAAATTTCCAAGTGAAGCTTTAACTAAACCAAATAAATTTAATTTCGCTGCTCTGCTTACGTTTTCTAGTCCCCCCGAAAGACCGACAAGTATTTTTGAAATGTTCCTTCGTCCAGCGGAGCGTGGTAAGTTTATATTTTCAGTTATACTGCTACATTTACATAATCGCTTTTGTATCTGTACATATTGTGCATATGTATTTATGTACTGGTATATAAAAAATGAATTTAGCTTGCCAAGAAACACGTAGAGAAATCCAACGAACTCAACCAAATGCTACTGCACGTAGCGAATTTTCATATTTAGTGAAAATTGGTAAACTTGCAATTGGTGGTTTCAAATTGACTTGTATCGGAACATTGGTGGACAAACGTTATGTGATAGCTGCAGCTCATTGCTTGGAGGATTCCAAACCGACGATTGTGCAATTGGGTATGATGAGTGGGAATATATCAAATACATGGGATTATACAATAATGGTTAATATTAAGGTATATTTAGTATGCATAATTTTATTTACTTTAAATTTATGTTCAATAGATTTTTTGTTTTCAGAAAATCCAATTGCGTCCAAAATATAGTAATAGATATCGTAATATTATTGGTTTAATTGAATTGGAGAATGACGTGAATTATTCTACATTAATTTATCCCATCTGTTTGTACACTGGAGTCCCTAAACCGGAAACTGGTATAAGAATACCAAATCCTAAACGTGGTAAGCAAGTGAAATATTATGATTTGTTTTACCTATATGAATATTTTATTTTTTGATTTTATATTATTTTACCTTAAGTAGTTTTTCCATTTTCTTTTTTTCGTTTTTTTTTTTTCAATTTGTTGTATTTATTTTCTGTATTTTCTGTTAATTAATTGAATTTAATTTGAATTTATTTTATATTAGTTAAAATTTTTAAAGTATTTTTTCTACTTTATTTTAATAATAGGTTTTGTTTTAATAATTTATTTTATTTCAGCTTATATCTTATAATACTAAAATTTATTATATGAATTTAATTAATTTAATTTTTTATTTCATTTAATTTTCAAAAAAATTTTTATATGTGTTTTTACTTTGTTTTAATGAATTTTTATTTTATTTTATCCCATATAAATATATTTTATTTTATTTTAATTCGCTATAATTTATTTTATTTTAGTGAACTTAAATATTTTAATTTTATTTCTTTAATTTTTTTATTTATGAGTTATGTTTTATTAACTCATTTTGTTTTAGCTTATATCATTTTATTTTCATTATTTTTTTATTTCGATATTTTCTTATAATGCTTTTATTTTATTTAATTTTATTTAATATAAATAAATTGTTTTTTTTTTTATTTAAATATGATTTTATTTTACCTCATTTTATATGAATTTAATTAATTTAATTTTCAAAAAAATGTTATATATGTGTTTTTACGTTGTTTTAATGAATTTTGGTTTATTTTATCCCATATAAATATATTTTTAAATATATTTTATTTTATTTTAATTCGCTTTAATTTATTTTATTTTAGTGAACTTAATTATTTTAATTTTATTTCTTTAATTTTTTTATTTATGAGTTTTGTTTTATTAACTTATTTTATTTTAGCTTATATCATTTTATTTTAATTATTTTTGTTAATTTGATATTTTCTTATAATGCTTTTATTTTATTTTAATTAATTTTATTCAATATAAATATATATTAAGTTATTTTATTTTAATATAATTTTATTTTAACTCATTTTATATTAATTTTATTTAATTTTTTATTTCATTTAATTTTCAATAATTTTTTTATGTATGTTTTCTTATTTTGTTTAATTTAAATTTGGTTTATTTAATTCGATAAAAATATTTTTTTAATATATTTTATTTTATTTTAATTTATATTATTTAATTTACTTTAATTTAATTTATTTTCTTTCAGTCAACTTAATTATTGTAATTTTATTTCTTTTATTTTTTTATAAGTTTTGTTTTATTAATTTATTATTTTATTTTCATTATTTTTTTATTTTATATTTCATCATAATGCTTTATTACATTTTCTTTTATTTTGGGTTATTTTTTTTATTTAAATATATTATTTATAAATTTTATTTTATATTAAATCTTTGTATCTTGATTTATTCTTAAAAAAAATTAAAATACCCACTTCCCGGAAGAAAAGCTCTTCCTGGTGGTAATTTGGATTCAAAGCTAGTACTGTGCTAAGCTTTATGCAAATCAATTGTTAAATTAAAAATTTATCGAATAGATCGGTCCCAGGTCCACCTCCCGGAAGAGCCTTACTTACCCAGTGCATATACGTCATACGCAAAACACAGTGGCTTCGACGCTTGGTTGACCTGTCAGTTATTCAGGGCAAAGCCTTTTATACATATGCACATACATACATTTATTGCATTATATTATGTTGTTTTATTTAAATTTATTTATTTTTTTGTTTTATTTTATTTTTATTTAATTTGATGTATTTATTTTTTTATTATACTTTATTAATTTTGTTTATTTTATTTTATTTTGGCACTTTTTACCCCCGTTACAAATACACGTAGATGGTGAATTGCATTGGATGAATATTTTAACTCTACCAGACTCATTGTGTTTTCAAAAGCAAAAAGATGAGTTTGTATTTTGTGCAAGCATTGCAAAACAAATTGACACGAATTGTGGATCTATCAAAGGACCTTTGATTTGGACAAAGAATGAGTCCCTAAAAGAATATCGTCTGATCGGCTTTCCAGCAGTTTACTCCAACGTGTGTGGTCTCTCATTCAATGCTACGGATATAACGACACTTTTGGATTTTATCGAAAGCATTGTATGGGCAACTTGAAGGAAACGCAAAATCGCGAAAAAGTTTGTACTTCGAAAAAGTAAAATACCCTTTGTTTTTGTTTTTTATTCAAATATAAATATTGATAATTGTAAAATAAAGATTAATTAACTTCACGTATGTAAACGACCGGTTATTTCTTTTTATATGTACACGTAAGCATCCAAAAGGTACATACGTTACACCACTGCCACAGCGAAATCGTTGCAATATCTGACTTTAATCTCTTTTTATATCGACATTGAAGGTTTCATTTTTTCCTTTTCGTATCCAGTCTTATACAAATGGTTCCGAACAGTTTTTTGTGTAATCTTTAGCTCTTGGGCAATCGTAATAGCGCTTATACGACGTTGACGCAAGCTCAAACCTAATCAACCGAACACAAAACTCTCAGAAAAGTTCTTTTGGTACGAAATGTCACCTCTCTAAGGCCATATAGTAGAACCCGATCGGACTTATACGACGCGAAATACAGATAAATAACGCCATCTATTGGAAAAATAACGAATGTCCTTTTACAACACCAAATATATATATATATATATATAAAGTTTAAAAAGAAAAACAAGTAAGTTTAATTTTTTTTTAATTTAGGTTGTATATTTAATTTGAACTTATTTTTAAATAATTTTTTTAATTTAATAATACTTCATTTTATTATATCTTACATTACATTACATTCTGCTTATTTTTTTTTAATCCACTTTTAATTGAGTTAATTTAAATTATTCTTTATTTTAATATAAAACTTTATTTATAATTTAATAATATTTATTTTATTTATTATATACTGTTGCTTTTTATTTGGTATTTATTTTACTTAAAATTACTCTCGGTACATTATTTTTGATTTAATTTTTTTAATTTGTATTTTATTTCTTTAAAAGATATCTATATGTGTTTCTTTACTATGCATTGATGGTGTTGAAAAGTGTATGTTTATTTATCCTGTTACGCGTGGAACGTAAAGCCTTGCATAATTTCGGGCTCTGGCTAAATATTGGCTACCAGTTGTGTACTTCTACTATTTTAATATTGTATATTATATTAAAAACTCGCTTCAGCGGTTCGAAAGACGAAAGAAAAATATTTATGTATACATTTATATTATATTTAATTTATTTATTTATTTAAATAAATTCTTTGTTTTTAATTTATCAATAAGATTTTTTTTAAGAAATATACATTTTTTTTAAATGGCCTGATTGTTTGTATGAAATGAATATTTTGTTATAGAAAACATCTCACACATCTCCTCATCAGACTTCTTATGGCAGGGATCGAACCAATTGATCCTGACTTTACAGGCAAGTGCTCTACCACTGCGCCAACAACTAATAAGTTCGTTAATTTAGCCGAAATTTTTTCAATAGCTTGGCTTGTGAGTTGTTTTTGCATCCTCTATACTTTCAGACGTTAATTGATCGAAAAATGTATAGGCAAAATTAAGTATCAGGTTCCACTTATAAATTCATAATTGTTTTTGTGGCCATGCTATAAATTTTCATTTTTTTTTGTGAAATACACGATTTATATTTTTTATTTAAATACATTTGTAATATGTACATATGTACATGTATGTGAGGTAAAAAAAATATATTTAATTAACAACCGTAAATTTTCAGTCGTCTTCTTGTTTATATGCGTTTCTACGATCTGCCTTTTTGGCACTCTTTAATATTGCAAAAATCTCTGCAGTCGCATTATCATATATATCTTCCGATCTTATACGTTTAAGTTCACTGCATAGCATAGCACAAAAAGTTTCCTCCTTGCATAGTTCATTCATTTTTACAATTTGTGTCTGTGCTGCCTCCACCGCTGCGGGTGTGTTAGTTATTTCAGTCTCTCTTTCCTAAAATAAGATTGATTCATAATTATGAATATGAAGTATAGCTTTTAAAGTAAAGACAGCTTACGGTATGTCTTGATCTCGAATTCTGCGGTGTTGTATAAATTTCATCTACTAAGCCCGTACGTTTTTTCTGTTTGTATAAAATATTTTTTTCTTTGCAGTTTATATGAAAACTAAATAAACAATTTTATTTTAACTTAACCAATTACAACTACATAATAATTTCATGAAATCAAGTTCTTACTGAGCCCTGTTTGGTGAAAAATTAGGGTAAAAATTAAAGAGTAAGGAAATGTCAAAATTGCGCTCTCTTAGTGCAAACTTTATTGGCTTTTTGCTTCACCAAAAGCAATGCAGTAAAATTCAGTAACAATTGCTACTGCTCATCAATTTCACAAACAGCTATGTATGTATATGAAGATGCTTTAAAAATAACTAATATACACGCACATACATAAATACATACATATAAAATTACCTTCTCAACAACCACATACCCTCGATTTATTGAACGTTTAGCCCTGATTTCTCTTAAAGGATCACTCTGAAAGAAAAAAAGGGAACTTTAACGAATTTTTAGCTAACAAATTTTTGTTTTTAATATATATCAAAACTATGTATACCCACTAATTATAGGTTCAAAATGTTAAAATGTAATAATCGACCGAAAATCGTTTCAATAGTTACAAAGTGTCAATATATATATACATATACATATATACAATATATAATTGTTACGGCAATTGGTATTGGCGAAGGCTTTCGAAATTTTTTAGCATTTCATAACATGTGCATATGTATTTATTACCTTCTCAGCATCCATATCTTCACCATCAGACGACGGTTCAGCTTTATTGTCACGCATTGAATCATCGTTCTGAAAAATAATATAAAATAGTTTTTACTAATTTCAAAAAAAAAAAGGAAAAATATCCGGTAGATTTTCAAATTTAACTCGATAGCCATTTAATTTCTTAGTCGATTAAAAGCACCCGTATATATTTACCTGCTCGTCAAGATTGGATGTTCTTAAAACTATAACCCGGTTCAGAAACGTCATCTCATCATAGTAAAATAATCTAGGCTCATACGTAGGTTCTCCAGCTTCATTTAAGCTGCTGTCAACTCTTTTCTTCTCACTAACATAACCTGTACGTAAGTTTTTAATTTTTTTCTTTATTTCGCCCACATCTCTACCAAAATGATCAGCAATTTCTGCCCAAGTATTTTTCTTTAAATTCACATCTTTATATTCCGATGAAAGCCAATTCCATAAACATTCATTTTCCCTATACATGCATATTAAATCTAAGATTTCAGCTTGCCGCCAATCCATTTTTTATCAATTTTGCAATTATGTATGTATGTGTATGTATATTTGTATATTAGTAGCACAAAAATTCTATCACTATAGCTTGATATACAGTAAGCAATCTTTGTTAGGAAATTTGGCCTTGTTAGTTCACTCGTTACACTTTATACAACGCAAATATTTGTGAGGAATTATATTCCACTTTAGTTTTAAGAATACCAAATTTACTGCTGTGTAGTTAATAAAGTGCTAAAATATTTATTTTGTTGACAGAGAGTGCTGCGAAAATATTTTGTATGAAATATAACGCAAGCTATGTATACCTGACTTCTTTTACCGCTGATTCCAATGACATTTCAAGCAGCTGACAGCAATGCAATATTGAGTGGTGAATAAACACTATTGATTTGTTTTATACACCACCTTAGTGGAAGTGGAAGTAATCGTATTTTCGTTAGGACTTTATTTATTTAAATAACATTTAACTATAAAATATCTTGTTATATGTATGTACATACATATGTATATAAAACAAAAATATTAATACATATAATATTTGTCGTTTTCATACTACAGTGGCTGAGTTATTTTTGCCTATTCAAGTGGTGCGCTGCAAAGATAACCAAAAGGATTAATTTATGCACATCTTAATCGTCAACGAAAATCTGAATAATCCGACCACCACTGTAGTGTATAATAATAATTTGTTGCAACAATTCGGTTAAACTCATAATAACTCATAACAACTTTAATTGACCTGTCGCTCTTTGATCCGTTGGCCAGAAATGAAATAATGTCAATCTAGATAAAATTTAAAGCAAATCTTGCACTAGCAAATGGAGCCTGGAAAAGAAAAAGATACTTTTTTTGGTAATCGTGAAGCACACCCGTTTGGGGAAAAAACCCCTCATTCTGTGCTCCATATTTACATTTTTTTCTACAAATATTAAATCAAATCGAACCATATATTTTTTTTCGCAAATAAGACATCTTTACCGCATCACGGATATATGTATGCTTGTATGGAACATTAAGATAAACAAACTTACGTGCATATGTATATAAAATTAAACGCTGAATTATAGTTTCTACACTTTTACAACTTTTTTAATCATTTTGTGTAACAAAAACTCAGTATCGGAAACTTATGAAATATGTACCTTCTTCTTTATTAAATAAGAATAAAACTTGAATACTACCGTAAATGTATACCATTTTAATATCGTCTACTAAAACTTTTACTTAAAATCTGCAGTAAATATTGACTATTTTAATATCTTCTACTATTACTACTACATTCGGGTTGATAATCAATTTGTCGCTCAGCGATTTTTGCACTTTTCACTATGTTAAAAATCTCTGTTGTCACATTGTCATAAGTCTCTTCAGATTTTAATAACTTTAGTTCACTACATAGCATCGCACAAAAAGTGTCTTCTTTGCTGGACGTTGGTGGAGAAGTTTTTGTTGTAGTATATGCTGATGATGAGAGACGGTTTGGCATATCATCGACGATTAAACGTCTTTTCTGTAAAAAAAAAAAACATAAATACATATATATAAAAAAGTAAATATAAATATATGTTTTTAAAACTTACAATAGTTGTTCGCACCAACTGCGGTGATGGACTTGCTGATTCATCAGTATCCGAAAGCATTCGCTAGAATGAAAGCGTAATATATTTAAAGAAATTTAGAAATTAGAGAAGTCGTCAATATATGCTACATACGCTAGATGACAATTCCATCTGTGTCGCCTCTTCATCAATATCAAAGGAGTCTGAGCTTTGACGCTGTAATAAATAAAGTAAATATACAAAAAATAAGTATAAAAAAGTGAGTTTTGAAATAAATTATTACCTTTCTAGTGCTTACAATACGGTCATTATTCGAACTAAGAGACTTGTTTTCTGCTAATGGGTCATCAATCTACAAAAAAATGGCAAAAGTTATTTTAAATTTGTTTATTAACAGTGTATCAAATATATGTACACCTACATTATCCTGATCAAATACACGCAGGATTATAACCGGATCCAAGAAGGTCATTTGATTGTAGTAATACAAACGTGGCTCGTATGCTTTGCCACTTAAACTCTTAATTTTGTCTACTTTCTTCTTTTCTGCCGTGTATGAGTTGCGTAAATGTTTGATTTTCTTCTTAACTTCGTCAACCTCCTTTTCAAAATGATTCGAAAGTTCAATCCATGCACTTTTCTTCATATCCTGTTGTTTATAATCTGGACTATGACAATTCCATAGACACTCATATTGCCTATACATACATATTAATTCCATAACTTCAGAATGACGCCAATCCATTGCTTTAAAGTACAAATAAATTTACGTTAATATTAATGATCATTATGACAAGCAGTTACAAGCCGTTTTTCTATAAATAAATATAAGCTTAAGTGCTTTACTTAATTGTGTAGCTTTGTTTATACCTGAGTGTGTTTGTATACTCGCACTTACTACACGTCCTTAATTCGTACGCTTCTCTTTGATTAATTTCCAAAATATTTTGTCAAAATGTAAATATGTCAGAATTAAATAATGATTTATTTATATTTTTAAAATAACAACTTCACAGACTCGCGATTTGTTTAAATTCTTTTTAATTGAAAGCGAAAAAACGCTGCGTTTTCACTTTTAGTTTTGTACAATAATAGAAATGCTAAATTGCTAGTGTTACATTTTAACTCGTACGCGATTACTTATCGACTGAGTGAAGCGATAACTCGCTGGTTGTGAGCAGCCAACGTTAATGGCAAGCGGAGAAACTAATCCGATAGATATTCATTTTTATATGTATGTGCTGATGGCCATTTATGTACTACCGTACATACGTAAAATGTCAAGCCAAAAATTCTCTCACATGTTGTTAATGTTTTGTATGAAAAGGTGATTGTTGGAGAAATATGTTCTTACAAAAGTCTCTAGACACGAGCCTTATTATTTACAGCGTGTGTGTCTAGGCTGTTGCGGTTGGTGTGTATCTAGGCTTCATAGGTTGGTTCTAGTACGAGATAGCTGCGCAATACATTTCTTCAATATATTATTTTTGTAATAACGTTTCGAGAACGTAATTTTTATGCTCAAAATTTGTAACGGAAAAAATAATTTAGAAAAAAGGGAAATTATTAAACATGAAAATAATTTAATTGGAAGGAGTGAGTAGTAAAAGCAGGTCCTAATCTAAATCATTAAACTAAAACTATAAAGTAAAATTGTGGCAAAAAAGGCCCAATTTGGCAAATGCAACCACAAAAAGGAAAAAAATATTAATGAAATAAACGAAGTAAAATTAAAAAAAATAAAAATAAGTAATGTACAATCAATAATATCAAAAAAGAAAAAAAAAAAGAAAATCAAAAACTGACAAAACTAAAATTAACTTTTGGGCCCAAAATTTCGAAAAAATAAAGACGTCAAGAGAATAGACAAAAAATTATCAAAAAAATAAAAACTAAAAAAAATGAATAAGAAAATTTTAAATTTCGAAAAATTTAAAAAGAATAGAAAATAATATAAAAAAAATGATATAAAATAAAAATAAAGTTAAAATAAAATAGGACAAAAAAAAAATTAAATAAAAAAGCAAATACTAAGCATTGATAAAAAAGAAGGAAAAATAAAAATTGTACAAAATAATGAAAAAATTACTAAAATTTAAAAGAATCAATAACAGTAATGTGAAAGTACTAAACATAAATTAGAAAATTATATTCATAATCTCTTTCTGGGGCCAAAATTTTGAAAAAAAGGTCAAGGAAATAAATAAAATGCAAATAAAAAATGTCAAAAACTAAAATTAAAAATAATATAAAAATTTAAAATCTTTAAAAAAAAATTAAAAATTCGTAAAACAAATAAACAAATACAAAATATAAATATAAATTTGGCAAATACTAAAAAATAAACAAAAAAAAAAATTTTTAATTAATTAATTAAAAGAATAAAATTAAAAATTATAAAAGTTATCAAAAAAAAAAAGATAAGAGAGACCAAAACTCAATATTTAAAAAATCTAATAACTCAATGAAGTGAAAAAAATTAAAATATTAAAAAAAAATATTTTTGTACATCTTTAAAAAGAAAAACTGAAAAAAATGGTGGGAAGAAAATATAAAATGGTAAAAATAATACAAATAAAATTATAAAAATATAATAAAATTTAATAAAAAAAAATTTTTAATTTTAAAAATAATTATTTTTAACGTCTGATAGAACCAGTATTTCGCAAAAGTGTGAAGGCGAACACCAAAAGTGAAGCATACAAAATAACCAGATCTGTAATTTACGCTTTTAAACAGTCCCTCAAACCTTGAAGTCCTGCAAAACCTTGTGGATTGTAATGAAAAACTTCATTTTATTTATTTTGGTTCATATATTTTGCTTTTTATTTATATGTATGTATTGTATGTATGTAATAATAATAATAATATAATAATAATGATAATATTAATAATAATTGTAATAATAATAATAATTATAATAGTAATAATTTAAAATTTAGGAGGAAGATTTTAAAAACACATTCTGTTTTATTTACGCTTACAAACTATACACTAAAACACTACAAATTACATTATACATATTTATTTATAATAATTACTATATTAATCACTAAAAGTGCAATATCACTTAACACTCTACTCTTTTTTATTGTGTATATATTAATTATTTATTTTCAGACATATGCATGTACATACATACATATGTACTATGTATTAATTACTTAAACGTAAAGGAGCAGCTACAGCAATTACAAATGAATAAAAAATAATAATAATAATATATATATATTTACATATATGTATATATAAAAAAAAAATAATAATAAAAATAAATACCTTAATTTTGTTATACACTTTTATAACTGTACCTTTTCTTGGCTTCAACTAAAGATTTAAATATGTATATTTTTTCATTTCAGCTTAGAGGTAAACAATTAAATACATACAAACATATGCTGTTGCATAATTAAATTTTTAACTATTTAAAAAAAAAAAACAAGAAATTCTCTTCACTATTGCATTGCTAGTTAGAAGTGTGTGTGTGTGTATAAGTAAGGTAATATACAAAAGTGTAGACATAACACCGGCTATAAAATAAATGGGAAAACTTAACGGTCGGTTTTTTTGTGAGATTTTTAATGTGTCTTTATTTTGAAATTTTATTAATTTATGCATATAATTTAATACGCACTCTATATAATTATTACGTTCAAAATTATTATTTAATTAAACTTTCAATTTATTTTTTTTTTATTATTAATATTTTTTTTCACTTTCCCCCAATTATACAAACAGGAAATTTATAACTATGAGTTTAACTTATTTTTTTGTTGTATTAATTTCAACTTTCTTGTTTTTTTTTTAATAATTATTTATTAATTTATTTACACAGCGTTGATTTTTTAATTTCTCGTATTATTTTTGCTTATTATCACCTTTGTGAAAATAAATAAAAAAATTATTTTTAATTTTTAATACTTTCAAAAATGTTTTTTTTTTTTGTTTTCGCTCCTTTTTCCTTTTCCAAGCAATGCATGTTGTGCTTTCGCTTTTTTATTTATTAAAATTGAAAAAATTCCAAAGCAGTGTTTTTTGATTATTATTTTTTTTTTAAATAATTTAAATATTTATTACTAATAAATATTTTGGATATTAATTTCAATTTTTTTTTTTTGAATGACGATATGCTTTTTAGTTGCAATTTGTGTTTGTTTTGTTTCAAAAAATAAATCTAAGTTAATTATTATAAATACATAATATATTTTCTTTTATTATATTTCGTAAGAAAACTAATGCTTTGGCAAGTGAACGCATATATTAATTTATGTGTGGTTTGTGTGTGAGTGTATTTTTTTGAATTTCTATAATTTAATTTTCGTAAATACAAATTGCATGACGGAAGAAATTGTGGAAATTTTTTGTAAATTGTATAACTAAAGGTATTTCTGTGGCATGGAGAACCTGAAAATACCTGACCGCTAAATGATTGTGTCTATTCTCTTCGAGTGATAATAGAAAACGTGTTTTTAATTAATTTTTTTCATTTTTCGTTTTGAATAAATATTTATATTTTCATTTATTTATATATTGTTGATCTAATGTATTTTGATTTTAGATGCATTTGAAATCATTTTATTTTTATTATTTGGTTTTAATTATTTTTTGTTTAGAATTTAATTTAATATTTTAAATTTAATTTATTTAATTTTACTTAACTTTTTTTTATTTTATGTTATTCAATTTGATTTAATTACATAAATTATATTTAAATTCATTTAATTTTTTAATTTATTTTAATTAATTATATTTTATATAATATCCTATTTTTTTACCTTATTATATATAATTTTTGCATTTTTATTTTATTTTTTCATTTAATTTTTATTTTATTATTATTTTTATTATTCAATCTTTTCATTTTAATTTTTTTATTATTTATTTTCTATTCTCATTCATTTGAATTTTCTTTCATTCATTTGTTTTCGTTTTACTTTATTTTATTTTAATTCATTTTCTTTGGAGGTTAATTAAATTTATTTGTTTTATTTCAATTTTTTGTATATATTTTTCAGGATAATTGAATTTATTTTTAATTTGATTTATTTTTTAATTTCATTTATTTTTATTTGTTTTATTTGCTTTATTTTTTTTATTTTATTTTAATTTATATAATTTCTTTAGGTTATTTAAATTTTATTTCTTTATTTATTTCTTTTCATTTATTCTTTATTTAGTGTCACTTATTTTAATTTTCCTTCATTCATTCGTTTTTGTTTTATTTTACTTAATTTCATTCTGTTTTATTGCATTTACTTTATTATATTTCATTTTCTTTTTATTATCTATTTTTTTATTTCATTTATTTTAATTTATTTCATTTGTTTTTTTTTTCTTTATTTTGTTTTATTTTATTTTAATTTATTTAATTTCCTTGGATTAACTAAATTTGTTTTTATTTCACTTACTTTTAATATTATTTGGAATTTTTTAATTTTATTTTATTTAACTTCTTTATATTTTATTTAATGATTTCATTTATTTGTTTTTATTTTTTTATTGCTATATTATTTTATTCAGTTTTAATTCATTTTAATTTATTTGTATTATTTTATTTAGTTTCATCTTTTTATTTTTTTAATTTATTTTACTGTAGTTTTTTTTTTTTTTAATTCTTATTTTTTATTTATTTTACTTAGAAGCAGACGCCTGTATATAAGCTGGGTTCCAAGTCACAAGAGCAACGGTGCCATCCGTGTTGCTAGCGAACCGGGACAGTACATATACAAAAGTCACTAAAAACGATGAAGTTTCCGAAAGAACTGGCTGCCGGATCAGTGTGAGATGACGGGCCACAAAGAGGCTTCGAAATTGGATAATAAAGTTCTCTTGAATTTTGTATTACAAAGGATAAACGGGGGTTTGTAATGCTCATCAGCCGTGATTATTTTGCTTTATTTTATTGTTTTGATTTTTTTATATTAAATATCTTATTTTTTATTATTTTTTTGGAGTGTTAATATTATATTTTATATTTAATATTTTCATTGTTATTTTTAAAGTAATTTTATTCAAATTATTTAATTATATTTTTTCCTTTGTTCATTTGATTTAATTTAATTTAATTTTAATCTTTTCAGTTCTAGAATTCAATTTATTAAATTTATATTTATATTATTTTATATAATTTATTTTATTTAATTTTCTAGAAATTACGTTTTACATTATATTATTATCGTAATTTATTTATTTTTTAATTATTTTATTCATTTAATTTACTTTTTATTTTATTTTCTTTTGTTTTTTTATTATTTAACTATTATTATTATTTCATTTCACTTTGAAAATATTTCAGCTTTTTATTTTTTTGGAGTAATAATATTTTATTTTATATTAATATTTTTGTTGTTATTTTTAAATTATATATATTCAAATTATTTAATTCTATTTTTTCTTTTGATTTAATTTTATTTAATTATAATTATGTTTGTTTATTCTATTCAATTTTGATCTTTTCATTTTTTTAATTTTATTTCCTTTTATCTTTTTTATTATTTAGTAATAATAATAGTTTTGTAATTATTTCATTTTATTTTTAAAATATTTCAGTTTTTTGTTTTCAGTTATGTCGTAATTACTTTATTTAATTTTTTAACATATATAATTTAATTTTTTTAAATTAATTTTGTAAATTTTTGATATTGATTAATCTATCTTTATTTCATTTTTATTTACTTTAAGTTTTTTTATTTTATTTTTTTGTTTATATTATTTTTTACTTTGTTTCATTTTATTTGCTTATATTAAATTTATATTATTTTTTGCTTTATTTTGTTTCATTTTATTTTACTTCATTTTATTTTAATTGTTTATATTATTTTTAATATTATTTTTTGCTTTTTTTATTTTATTTGTTTATATTAATTTTTGCTTTATATTGTTTTATTTTATTTAATTTAATNTTTATTTTATTTTATTTTATTTCATATTATTTCACTTCTGGTATTCAATTTTATTTCTATTTGTTTTCTTTTATTTCACTTTATTCACTATTTATTTATTATTTATTCATTATTCATAATTTATTTTTTATAGATTTTATATATTTATAAATTATTAATTTTGGAATATTAATTTTACTCAATTACGTATTTCATGGCTTAATACTATTCATTTTCTTCTTAAAATGTAATGCTATTTTATTTATATTTTATTATTGTTACGTGTTTAATTGCTACGCATAATTTATTTTATTTTCAATAAATTTATATAATTTTTTTTTTAAACTCAGTTGCCTAACTTTAATGCCTTTTAATGCCGTTCGTAGTTGACTTAAGTGTTATATATATGTTTATTTTATATATAATATATGTGTGTATGCATTTATGTATGTATGTATATGCCGGTACCTGCATTGTTGTGTTAAATACTTTATATTCTCTACATTTTATGCTATATTTTACATATACATATACAATACGTATACATATATGCTATATAATATATTTTATACATAAATTAAATAAATTCTTATTTTATATGCTAAATACTACTGTTTAATGCCATTTTTGGTTTCACTATTTTCCGCCTATGCTCAATACAAATACTCTTTGTTGTTATCATTAACAGATAATTTATTTTTTTTACTAATTATTACTCAGCCTAAATGTTAAATGTTAATAATTACGTTGGCTTTTCATAATTGTTTTTGTTTTTTTTTTGTTTGTTTGTTTGTTTTGCGTCAAATTCGCGTGCAAGGTTTCTTCCCATTTTCGTTTATTTACTTTGATTTTATTTTTTATTATATTTCTTGAGATCAAAAAGAGGCTTTCATGAAAACTTCCTTTACATTTGTAATCTCTGTATGTATGTATGCATATGTAATTGTATATAATTTTTGCTAATTCTTATCTTTTATTTAATGCTTTTTTTTATTAGTATTTTTATTTTTTTTTTGATAATTTTTCATTAACTATTTACAGTTGCGGTGGCAGGGCGTTCACTACTACGGTATGAAATTGTGTTAAAAATAATTACGATATTTACGATATAAAATATTTACACATTAAACTAAAACAATTTCATTATATGTATATATTTTTTTTTTTTTTTTTTTTGGGTGGAAAAGAAAGTCAGCTGAATTAAAAAAATACAAAAAGATCAAATTAAGCATAAACAAAAATAAAATACTATTATTACTAAACCTGTTTGCAGTCTTAGCCGACAAAGGTGTATAAATGAATACACAAATCCTCTAATTTATGCGCAAATATTTTTAAAATTAATTAAAAATTGCATTTAAATGCCGTTTTTCTTCTTCTCATATGTCTTCGAAGTGATATAAAGATTTTTTTTGAATAAAACCATACTCGTCTCCTTCAGCTCTAAACAAAATTACGAGATTCGCGTGAACGCTTTACACCACAGATTGCACAGATTTTTAGTTTTGCCTGCGCTCCGCAACGCTACACACCTCAGCTGTACGAACCGACTAACGACTGAGTGTGCGACGCCAGCACAGAGCGCGAGAAAATTCGCCGAATTTCTACACCCCACACGTGTACGGAGCGCGACTTAATAATTCCATACGCCAGCTGCGCCTCCTGCCGTTGTTGGCATACCGGTTGTATTCGTTGTGGTTACACCGGCCGTCGCTACATCGCTGGTCATTGTCGGCGCTGCCGCTACCGCTGACGCATCGTCTTCGTGGCTGTGCCGTTGCACGCGCACCATGCGCAACTTGTCTTCACTAATGACTTTTAGCTTCTCTTCGCTTGTCGGCCGGTGTTCGTGTGTTGGCAGTGATGTTGTTGCCTCGTTGTCGCTGTCACAATCTTCCTTTTCCTGTTTTATGCGCACTTCCGGTTCCAGGAATCTTTGTTGTGCTTCAAACTCTCCTTCAAGCACTTCGGCACCACGTTTTGTCGCCTCTAGATTGACATCACCGCCGGTGGTATTGTTGTTAGTGCTGGCGCCTTCACCAGCTTCATCACTTCGACTAAAATCGGACGGTCGCATGACGCAAACACCATTAATGATGCGTTCCTGTTCGGCGGCGGATGGTGGCAGACCTGTTGCGTTGGTTGCTGCTGTTGAGGCACCAGCAATCATGATGCCATTGGCATCAATCGTTACGTTCGGACCGGCGGGATTAACCCATTGTGGTGCGGCTGGTTTGCGTCGTGAGCTGCTACGCATGCTGGCGGCCAGACCGCCCATTAAGTAGCTGGCAGCAGCTGAGAGCGGCGTAGAGCGTGGCGTGCTAGCGCCATCTTTGTAATCACCGCTAAGTGATTTATCATCGGCGCCATCCAATGATTCATTGTCACTTAGATGACTATCGTCGAGTTCGTCGTCGTAGTCGACACTGCGTTCACGCTTCATTGAGCTCATCGAGAGATCTAGACCACGCATTTGTTCTCTGAAGGCCTGATTGAGCGCATGTAAATCGGGCTCCCCACCAGCACCGGCTGCTGCAGCTGCGGCGGCGGCAGCGGCGCCTGGCATGCCGGCCAAACTGCGTCCAAGTAGCGCGGCGGCGGCAAAGTACGGCGGGTAGGGTAGTGTTGGTGCGCCACTCAGTCCCATTCGCTCTTTGTGCAGCTCGAGTAGACGTTGTTGCAGTAGTATGCGGAATTGGACGGGATCGAAAGGCGTTGAATTGGTATTTTCACGGCTTGGTATTGGATTATCGGCACCGGGCTGATTGTGCGGCACTTGTTGTTTGAGACGCATGCGATGATTGTGGAACCAGTTCGTAATGGTGCGTGTGGCGAGTCCCAGTTCATTGGCAAGAAATTCGATGGTAGCCACATTAGGGTAAGGATCGAGTTCGAAGGCTAGACGCAGTGCTTGCTTTTGCTCCTCGGAAAAGAGTACGCGTTGCTTCTTATTTGGCGGTGCACCGCTAACGGATGAGCCCACCGAGCCGGGTCCGGGTGAGCTGGTATAAAAATCGTTTGTATCATTACTGGATGTATCCGAACTGTTGTCCTGCTGATTGGGGCCGGTCGAACGACGCCGTTTGCTCGCTTCGCGGCGTTCATTCTTAATCACCTGCAGACGTTCTACATTGTTGGCGTCCGATAGCCACAATTGCATGCGTATAAATGGTTCACGTCCCTTTATGGAGAGCATGTGCCATGGTTTCGGTTTGCTAAGCAACTCCGAGACGGAGCCTTGTGAGAGTCCCAGCACTGCTTCGCCGAAAATCTTCTGTCCAATGTTGTTGGCAAGTAGAGCTTCCTTAATTTTCGTCGTTATTATCTGCGTATCTAGATCCTGAGTAAGCGCTGCCATCTCGTATACGGTAGGCGACATATGTTGATGCATGCTCCGCATTGCATTGGCCTGATGTGGTGAATGTATTGGCATCATCATTGGCTTCTTATCGCTGCCCGGTGTGCCTGGACCAGCATTGCCGCCAGCTGCGCCGGTTGGTGGCAGACTAATGGCATGCTGTGGTGGCAGACCAGGCGAAGTCAGCAGCATGCTTTGATGGTGCGCAGCTTGTGCTGCAGCTGCGGCCTGTGCTGCTTGTACTGCGGCAGCGGCGGCGTGTTGTTGTTGGCTCTGCGCTTGCTGCTGATGCTGTTGCATGGCAGCGGACATAGCAGCGGCTTGCATTTGCTGCATGATATGCTGAGCTTGTGTCGGCTCTTGCAGTTTCAATTCATTCATCATCTTTTGCATCGGCAGGGAGGCGCCAATTTTGCTCGCCAAACCCTGTGGTAACTGTGGTGTGCCGCTATAGCTGCCCGTGCGCATAAGCTTCTCGGGCGCAATCTTATATTGGCTCGCTACCAACTTATGCACGGCGTTCTCGTCCTCAAGGAACATTTTCATGCGTATGAACGGTTCACGACCCTTCTGTGTCAACATATGCCATGGCTTTGGACGTGCCAATAAATCGGAGACGGAACCCTGCGACAGGCCGAGCACGGATTCCCCAAAGAGGCGCTGTGATATGGAGTATTGCGAAAGTGCCTCTTTGACACGTCGCACAATGTCCTCGGTGTTGAGATTGTTGAACATATCGAATTGTTGTTGTGTGATTGGTGGTAAAACAGCTTTGGTGGGACGTTGTGGTGGCGTGTGATGTGGTGGGACGGGTGGTTGTGTGATCAATGAATTCGTTATAGATGCCATGCGCTGCAGTGGGCTTGCAGTGGCGGAGAAGTCATCGTTCGAAGTCATTGCAGGCGGTAGGATCGAGTTGCTCAATGGACTCGGTGCAGTAGAATTACTCACGCCATGCATGCCAACCGAGGCATTGCTCGTTGGTGGTGGCGGTACAGGTGTGTGGCTGCCGCTGTCTAATTTACGCCCATGCAATGACATACCCGCACTGCCATGACGGTCTAAGCTCTCAGCATTAGGCATGTCTTTGGCATGATTACTGTTGCCACCGACCGTATTATTGCCTGGCATTGTGGCCGTATTACTGTTACTATTGCCACACTGTGAGTCCATAGAGTTGCTCGAGTGTTCGATGCTACGTTGCCCATTGACTTTGATAATGTCTTTGGGATCTTTCGTGAGCGTCAGGTCTTGTGCGCCATTTAATACTTGTTGCTGCAGCGCCATCAAATTGGAGAAATTTGGGAAGTTCGGCAAGCTACCGGCGGCCGCAGCGGCTGCGGCATTCTGTTGTTGCTGTTGCTGTAATTTAGCCATTTCACGTTCATATGTGAGACGTAAATTCTCATCGGCACCAGCCATCATATTCGGTAGCCCACAACCGCTGGGCATGCCACTGGCGGCGCTGAAAAAAGGCGAGAGCAGAAGGCTAACAAATTAGTGCATTTAGCCGAACTGTACTTGGGTAGGTGATAGTTTGTCTAGTTTTGCAAAACTCTGCCGGCATTTACTTACCTTGGAAAGGCGGCTTCACGTGGCGTACGCATCAGGAACTCCTGATAGATGCGCGCCATTTTATCGGGCGTCAACTCCTGCTCCTGACGCAGGCGATGTTGCTGTTGCTGCTGTGCAGCGGCGGCGGCGGCGGCGGCTGCTGCCTCCTGTTCCTGTTTCAATTGACTGTTGCTCTTATAGAAGGGCGATGTACAGAGCGGATGTGGCGACTTCGAGTCCTCATTGCTATGTTGCGAGTCATCATGCGCCGAACGACGATTTTGCTCCTGTTGCAGCTGGCGCTGTTCGGCTTCCTTCAATTGCTGTTGCAGTGAGCCGGGTGTGGAATTCTTAATCAAGCTTGATGCCTCGTTCAGTATATGTGCGAGGCGATCATCGGACATGGAATCTTCGCGTCCACCATACGGCGGCAAACCAGAATCTATATAGTAGACGAAAAAAAAACAAAGAGGAAGCGAAAATAAAATTAGTAAACGGATTGAGGACAAGAAGTATGTATGCAAATAGTTAATTATATGTATATGAAGATATAAAGCATACCTCGAGGGCAACACACTAACCCAGTGCACTGGCATGGCGCACTAACCCCGTGCGATCATAAACAGGCCATTAGGCAGCATAAAACTTGCCGCAAAATAAAATGTAATAAAACCACACACAAAAAAAGGAAGGTAAATAAAGCTGCATAAAAGGATCACACAATACAACAGCGAAATGACGTATTGATAGACGTTGCTGTCAATGCTGACAGCCGCCACGACTGTCAGTGCAAACTTCACGATCGCGCATGATCACCTTTATCACTCACTACTGGTACTAAAACCGTACCTGTATGGGTCGCATATAATAAAGGCGCGGCGCGGCATACAGCTAAATGCATTTTTACGAGCGCTGAGTGCGATTAAGGCGCCGCCAAAATGTGCTGGCCGAACGAAGAACATTCGACGTTCGGCGGCTCATTGAATTTATTGGATTTATTGATAGGACAGCACTGCGGCCGCATAGTGTGGCCGTATCTACATGCATACATTTATACAGCTTTTGGGTCGCAAATAGACGCATTTAACGTTCGAATTAAGCCATAAAATGTCAATCGCTTGCAATGCCGACGTATTGGTTTAATTTATGCCATACAAATATTATAGCCGATAAGCTGAGTCGCGGCGGTGAAGCATTGATGAATTATCAGTGCAAAGAATTTTATAAATTACGTTTGCGTATTTTTTTCGCCACTCTTTTTTTGCACTACTTCCAATGAAATTAAACTCATATATGTAAATAGATTGGCTCAAATTAAGCATCATAAACATAAAAATGCAATTTGCCGCTTCCTGTGATCGGCTGCGGCGAAAGTTGTGTTTGTAGCGCTACTCTAAATAATTGAATATTATTAGCTCTCAGTTTAAGAGATTTGCTTTTGCAATTAGTTTTTGCAATTTTGTAAAGAAAAATCCATTTCCATACTAATTAAATGTTAATAATAAGTAATTAATAAACAATAAATAATGCACTCTTCTCTTCACATACAATCTCTTCGCACTAAAATTATAACTATAGTGTGTACGCCATATTACGAAACAGCACACTTGTTGCAACTGTCATCTGCGCACATCGCTATTTATTGAATTTTTGACATTTGTCAAGCACTTAAGGCTTTGAAGACGTTGAATTTGTTGATTCAATACAAAAAAGAACAGTGTTAAACTCAAAGAGAAAGAAAGTTCTGTGAACTATTAGAGATAAATAAACAACCATTGAAGGAAAGCAGCTCTACAGAAGAAGAAAATTTGCAGTGAAGCAAAAAGTTAACGCAGGTTAAGAAAATAAAATATTAAATATTTGACAATAAAAATCAGAAGTGGAATAAATAAAGCAAAACATATGCATAATGGAAGTTAATTCATAGTGAATTTTATTTTGTTAGTGTAAAGAACTAAGGTGTGAAAATAGCCAGAAGTCGCATACATGTAGGTCCGAAAAGTGCCCCAGAGATATAATTTTTAGATCGGGCTTAGATTCAGCAAGTGTATGGTAATGAGCGCAAAAAAAAAAAACAAAATCAAAAGTGGTAAAGGTTTAAGAAAGAAGCTATAGCTTATCCAGAGATGGTGGTAACAGCAAAACCTTAAGAGGTGAGAAAGAAATATCAGAAGTGGGTTAAATATGGAAAAATTTGTGATTGACCAAGTGATTTTTAAATCGAATTCACGGCCAACATATGTAGTTAAGAACAGCGAGTGCAAAAATATAGAACACAAATTTTGAAGTGGTATAAATTCAAGTGTAGAAAATAATAAATCAACTCAGCAATGCATGAAGAAGAATAAAATTTCGAAAGTTTCATAAATCAAGGTGCAGAGAATTTATTATTGATCGGGCTTAAGTTCAGTGATTGGGAAGAAAAATTCAGAAGTTTTCCAATTGATTCTTCCAGATATACACCATCAAATTTAAGTTCAACAAAGTTAAGTTAGCCAAGATTGACGGGGTAAGAAGCCAAAATTCAGGATTGGAATAAATAAGTTGGTGAGTACAAAAACAATATACATATGTATGTACATCAGAAGTGGAATAAACTCAAGTGTGGTGCAGAAAAAAACAGAAGTGGTTTAAACCATGATACAAAAAAGGAAAGTAGTTTCACCCAAAATAAAATTGACAGAATATTGATTTTTGACATTATATCTTATTTTTATTTTAACTTTTAAAGATATTGCTACACTAAAAATGTTTCACATATTTTTTTTTTTAAAAAATGAAAAGAAAGACTTTGAGTTATTTGTGAAATATTTTTTAATTTTACAAAGTTGAAAAAATATTTAAAATAAATTAAATTGCTGGCACAGCACTAAAGCAAAAGTTGAAAATCTTTGCATGTCAGATGGTTAATATTTTTGAAACTATCTTGTTTTTTGTATCATCGTATAAACAAAATTGTAGAAAAACGTAGTTAGTAAACCAGATATGAGCGCTAAAATTCCAGAAGTGGCATACACACAAGCATATATATAATGTTAAGACCGAATGCTTTAATAAATTTTTTTTAAGCTTTCAAGTAAATTAAATTATTAAAACAATTCAGCACAAACTATATTTTATGCGCATTAGTGCTTGAAATAAAATTTAACTCTTCCAAGCCCTTTTATATTGTAGTAAAATACAAAAAAAAAAAAATAAAAATATATAAAATTCTAACAAAAATTCATTAACGTTTTATGTTTTAATTAAATTTAAAATTCATTAAATTTAATTGCATTACACATGAATGCCTACTTGTTATTTCTTAGTGTTGTTTGTGTATTTTTTTTTTTAATTTGTAAAAACTCTAAACACGCCGCCTATGTGTACGACATACCCACACATGTGTAGACTATTTATAATTGCCGTACAAAATCATTAAATATTGCGTATAAGTGGACGCTTTGGTATTTTAAAATAAATACGCTTCATGCTCAAATCATTTTAAATGACCAATTACCAACGCAGCACCGAAAACATCAAACATTGAACCAAATTGAAAGAAATACAAAAAAAAAAAATCATACTTATATTATGCATATGTATATATATTTATAAATGCATATATAGAATGCAGCATATTTTGCTTTACATTTTAATGCAATGCAATTTTGTTTTTTACATCCCCCTGCCCCCAGCATACACGCCCATTACTAACGTTTGACCAACAATGAGCCACAAACGAGCCACTCAACTGGTCAATCGTTGCAAATGCCATGCAGAGCTCACTCGAATGCTTGATTTTAAACAAATAATAATTTATTTTTTATTTTTATTTTTTTTTGACGAATGCAATCGGTACAAGAAAAAGTGCAAAAGCAAAATATTTATTTGTTGTATTGGTTGTGCATTGTGCACATCACTAGCGTATATAGAGCAATAGCACGGCATATAAGGCATGCTATCGTTGGCATTTCACGGCGTTATCGGTCAACATTTGACATATGCATGTGTGCGTGCACATGTTTATCGAAAACCAAAATATGCAGTTAATAGAAAAATGAATAACATCAAAGCATAACAAGTGATCTGGTGAATGCATTCATTGTACAGCTGTACAGCGAAGGTGGGAATGAGGTTAGAAAGTATGGGTGCTGGTGCACAATAGCGAAATGTCGCTGACACAAAGTGCAATTTGCAAACAAATGTTCGGCCAGCGTAAGCGCAAACAATTAATAAAAAAAAGAAAGCGATAGAAAAACAACAATTGCACAAACACTTGACGGTCAACAATAGTCAATGCAGCTGTAGATAAATGCCGTGCACGTGGTTGGTGGGGGTTTACACTGGTTGAAAGGATAAAAGCTTGATGAAGGTACGGTTGGTTCGAATGACGATTGCCATGGTTAACCACAAATCGTTGGTTGAATTACTAAAAATTAGTTTAAAAAGAGTTTGGTGTTGCATGTGGAAAAAAGGGAATGCGCTCAAATCGTGATATGGTCCAGAGGTTAATTTGGCACGCGCCAAATTCCAAATATCGATGGCGAATTCACTTCAATTGCAGTTAAATGGCGAGACAAAGGCAAAACGTTATGTACGGCAGTATAAATTGTATGAAGTTTAAGCAAAGAAAATAGTAGAAGCAGTCGAATGGTATAGCTGACCTCATGACACAGCGTTGGATGTGGCACGATAAGAGGATTGGCGCTAGCAGTGAGTAGCAATTTCTTATTTTTCCAATGAATCTAAACCAATTTTTTTTTCTTTCAACTTACAATTTGTCAATCAATGTTGGTGTACTTTAAAAAAGTGAATTCAATGCGAAAACTTGGCTACGTTCAAACTAAACACCAGGAAGTTGGAATAAAAGAAATAAAACGAAACAAAGAGTACAACTAATCAAACGATCAAACAAGTGATACGTGAAAGCACCAAATTTCAAAAGCGAAAAAAAGAAAATAAATCAGAAACCAAGTACAGCTACACAGCAGACGAAAGGAAATCACGCGCTTGAATAATTGAAAATCGCTTTACAACAGTGATATGCGCTTAAAGGACAAACTGGCTGGCTGGCTGACTGCCTGAGCGCTTGAGCAAAGCGGCGAACACTTGGCTGTTGGCCATTGTGCTAGAGGAAGCCATAAATGCACGTCGTTAAAGTGAAACCAATATCGTCATGTTGGCCGCTTGAGATGAGTACGAGTATGAATCGACAAGGATAAGCGTTTAGCAATACAATGGAGACGTGCACAACTTTTGGCCATACCAGGATGTGATGCGGAAATCAACACACATAAATGACAAATGGCATTCATCTATATTTTTTTTCCGAACATCACTGTGGCAACGCTTTGTTCTACCATTGCGTTAAAGAAAAAATGAAAAAGCGTAGATTGGAATTCAATTGAAAAGCACATCATTCAAGCGCAAAGTATTGAATGACGATGTTGTTTCCGCACA